ACTGTTAAAATGACATTTTTAAATGCATGCAGATGCAGATTCTCAGTTATCCAAGATGAGCTAATCCCAGTGCAATTTCAAAAATATCTGATGACAAATGCAGTCAAGTACCCAAAATAAAGGCAAACTGGGTTTAACTAGGCACAGGTCTTACATCTTGGGATGTGGCCTTGTGATGGACTTGTGATCTGTCCAGGGTGTACCCTGCCTGYCGTACAGTAACTGCTGCAGATAAAAAAAAAAACAGCTTCAGTAAGGAAACAGTTGGCAAAGAACATTCACCCAATTATCCATCTATCCATCATTCTTGTAAACTTTTTCAATGTGCAGAACTGAAAAAGTGCAATTCTCCAAGTGTTAATAATAGGGGTAAAACAACCATTATTTGGGCTTGTGTTGCTGCAAAACATTTTTTTTACTAGAAATATAAACAAACTCAAAAGAAAATTCTTGTATATCATCTTACACAAAAAAGCTACATATAAAAAGAGGTTGGTAAAAAACAGTAATTATAAAGCTTATAAATAAGCTCAGTGACACGTGCTGAGCAGAAATGAAGCCAGGCGACACCAAACCCTGTTGCACTAAACATCGTTGTCATTYCAATTATTCAAAGCTGGCAAAGATTTCATGGTGCACTGGTTGTTTTTAAAGGGCCCAGTCTTCGGATACAAAAATAGTCAAAGGCAGTTCAAAGGTTGCTATTTGTCTCCTTTGGGAGAGCTTATGCTTGTTTTTTTATTAGTATTATTTTAAAGGGCACTGCTGCACAAATGAAAGAAAATCACATTATGTACAGTAATGCAGTAAAACCACATAAACAATAAGCGCATTAATAAAAAAAGATGACAATAATGAATAATTAAAACAAATGTGAAAAGTGTTAACTTTTAAAATACTGGAGAACATAAGTTACTGAGTAGCTTTGATTTTTTTTTCTCTAATGACCTTGATGAATGAGTGTTTGTACCTGCTGTTTTTACAGAGGGGAAACGTACCTCCTCCCTGTGTTCAGCAGTATATTGCATATTCTTTTGGAACTGTCATTTAAGAGCTTGTTTGCCTGTGAAATGTAACCCACTGTCTTTCTTTACCTCATCTGCAGACCTAAGCAAGGCGTTAACAGGTGCAGGTGTTCTTTACTGTCATCAAATGTTGGCAGGTTCTGGTATTCGGCTTCAAATGAATTGGACAACCTGGTTTGTAAAGATAAAGAATAATGTAAAAGACAAACTAGATAACTGTATATGTGAATATCTGTAAACTGGCAGTGAGATTTAGAAAATTCAAGGGCTGCCATCAGAAATCTTATGGCACCAAATGATCTAACGCTGGCCTAATTTGTTTACGCTCTTAGCTGATTACAGCTACAGAAATTGTCACCAAATGAGCCTGAATGAAACCCTGATTCAGAGTTGAAAGTTTTATAGAAGCAAATGGATGTGGAGCGGGATGCGTCGGACTGGGTGTTGCCATAGATTGTTCATRATGATGAGAGACTTCTCAGATTAGTTCAGTCATTTGGTTCTTATCTAATTGAATCTGGAGGAAGCAGATGTTCGAAGTAGTGAACCAGGTCATCTCTCACAATTAGTTATCTTCCTTTMCTTTTGTCTTTACTTCCTTCCACTTGTTGCTGGAGTGATTTCCTGCCTGAATGTATGAAGGTTAAAAAAACATTGTCAGGTCAGCTTTKTCTGTTAAAGACGTAATAGGAGCAATAGACCGCTGGTAAAGTAATCAGTGAGACCTTGTGTGGTTTTATTATTTAAGCAGATTCAGACTAAAAACTTTAGTTTCCTATATTTTTTTATTTTGTTTATTCTCAGCACACATAATACACACAGAGGTTTAACACTATGTTTGTTTCTTTGTTGCTGTCCACCAAATGAAGATGGTTACTAATAAAGTTTGTGTGAATAAAACTGTTTGTGGTTTTATTACCAAAATATTTCATGAACCCCTGGTCAAGTTTAAAAAAATATTTGAAAACAAAATAAACATTTGATGCAACTCAACAACTGACTACTGAGTCGATCCAAATCATGGCTGTTACAGCCAAGTGGCATTAAAAAACAAAAACAGCACCATATTTAGTCATTTTTGCAAATAWTGWGCTAAAATTTGGTTTAGTTGTAGCTGAGAACCATTCTCAATGCGTACTATAAGTTCTCTTTATTGAGTAAGGTTTTTGTTTGAAACTTTACCATCAACTGTTGGTGTYAACCCTGTTGACACTTGGGGTGTAAATCACCAGCTTTCTCATGATTCGATCTTATGTTGATTTGTGTGGATGATACAGTTTCTCAATATCACAAAGTCTGCCATAATACAAATTTGATTCAAYTCTATTTACATGTCTGCAATCGATGTTTCGATCCACATCAGGCAAATGATGACAATATGATCAATGTTTTTGTTTCACATCAATGTAATTAAGTCTTTAATCATTTAGTTGATGTCTCAACATGGATCTATGTATTGTTAAAACCCCTTGTTGAAACCAAAACTTTTTAAGTGACAAAAATAAAAATTACATTTAAAAATTTAGAAATCTGACTAAATATATACATTGAAATATGTTTGTCCTATACAGTTAATGTCTTTGATTGTTTTGAACAAGTTTTTTTTTTTTTTTTGGTTAATAAAATCAATAATCCAAACGTTCAACATTATGCAATCCAATCTACTCTATGCTTAGAKTTTAGCTTCTGGAATCTTGTTTGTGTTACTCAATTGGTGCTATTTCATGCATTTTTGTTGTACATTTAATAACAAAAAACAGAAGGAAATGGGGCAGCTKTGGTAGAGTAGGGGAGTCGTCCTGGAACCGGAAGGTTGCCGGTTCGCTYCCCATCCAGTCGACTCAGTCGTTGTGTCCTTGGGCAAGACACCTTACCCGCCTTGCCTACTGATGGTGGTCACACGGTCCGGTGGCACCTGWGTATGGCAGCCCCTCCTCCGTCAGTGTGCCCTAGGGCAGCTGTGGCTACARTTGTAGTTTGCCATCATYAGTGTGTGAATGTGTGTGTGCATGGGTGAATTTTTGTAGGGCGAAGTGCTTTGAGTGTCCTGGATGRATAGAAAGGCACTATATAAGTACAGTMCATTTACCATTTACCAAAATTGCATCTTTGTGGCACCCTGTTAGTAAWAATTTAACTAGAAATCCAATTTAAATTTGTTGTTTTGCTAACTGGTCCTTATGTGTTGACACAACACTGGTTCATCCCTTTAATGTCTGAAGGATTAAGTCAGAGTTAAGTGACTTAAAAAATCCTCTGAAACTGGTTGAGTATAGTCTGATAATGTATGGAAAACATCAGCCAAAGTTTAAAAATTTGTCTTTGGGTTTAAAGAAATACCACCATTTGGGAAAATYACGAAAGCCTGACTTCAAAAGCTAAAAATAGGAAATAAAATATAGTTAGCATTAGCTTCCAATTCTTTGTAAGCCTTTTTCAACCAAACTTTGTCAATAATGTATTGTTTTAAACCTCAGTTAAATCATGTAAAGAATAAAATAATAAGGAAAAGACCAAAAATAACACTTTTCAATAATTGGTCTCTTTCAGCACCTTGGACAGCAGCTTTCTAACACCATCATTTTACGCCTAACGTCATTTTAAAATTACTCTTTTCTGTATGTAAAATGAAAGAATTGAACTTTGTGTTGGCTGCATCTCTTTACTCATAGAAAACAGCTAAAGCTTAGAGTAAATATCACTTCTGTGCACAGAGGAACTAATCTGTGAGGCTAAAACCTTGTCACGTCTGTGATGAGAAAAAAAATGGATTACCCTGCGTGATCTTATSAAGCAGAGGATGGTGCCTATAGATGCCCTCAGAACATCCACTTATTTCCAGACAAGGGCATTGATATTCAGGATATGTTTATTTAAGTGTTAAAGAAATAATTCGCAATATTCCATTTGCATATGTCATTATTGTAAATTTGGAACAACACACCTTCTTTCGTTGGTTGAAAGATAAAAAGGAAAAAAAAAGGAAAAAGAAAAAGAAATGGGCACTGGTTATATTTATGAGCAGCCTTATTAAAGATGTCCTGTCTGTGAGGAATGACCTTGTTTAAAAAGGAGACTAGCTGGACTCGCCAAGTGTGTGTCTGTCCATGTGTGTGTCTGTCCATGTGTGTGTCTGTGTGTTTCAGACAAGATGGGGAGAAGGGGCAGAAGGAAACTGGCACGCCCAGACCCTGCCGCTGAATGACGCCCGTGTTGCTTCTCCTGTCGGTGCGTTCTCCTGTCATTGGCGGAGGGCAGGAAAAGGTAGCGCTGGCGCGGAGGGTGGAC